AAGGAAATACCAGATATAAGTTAACCATCCACTTATCCATCCCACTCACCCATGCAACCCACTCCATCAACCCAGGCATCCCACGAGGGGTTTTCATTCTCACTCTTCATTCTTCTTTCTCACTCAACCATTCCATCCATCCATCCATCACACCCACCCACCCACCCATCCCACCTTCTAAATCTGCTATCCAATCACTGAGTCATCTGTTGATCTACCAGTACCCTTTTCACCTTGGCTATTTGCTAAGTTTCCTTAAAGTTAAAATGGGATCTAGGTTGGGAGAGCTGTTGGAGTAGGGGCCCAGGAGCCCCTCTTGCTAAGGAGACCACATGGTTTGGGGGAGAGACAGACCCTTCAGAAGCCTCTGTGAGCAGGGTTCCTGGTGGCCGTCATGAAAGGGTTATCCCCACACATTCAATATTTGCAAAAATGTGGGTTCTTTCAGATTCCCAAACTCATTTCCATGACAAAACTCTTGGGAAGAGAAGATGAAGGTCTGGCTTTTGCAGAACAATCTTCCAGCTGTAATGAGGACTGAAGATGGCGATGGGAAAAGGAATTATAATTAGAATATGAAATGGGGAAAATTAATCTATTCCAGTCAGTGGTAAGAGGATGTTCTCCTGGCATTTCACGGAAATTCTTAGGCCATTTTCCCCCTGCATTTTACACCCACCCCCAATTTTAAAAGATACAGAAGGTTGCGTGGCCTGAAAAAATACATTTTTGGCCGAGGGGCTGATAAATTGTGAGATATGCATGAAATTTAAGCTCCTATGTGCATCGGTACATACCCACGCCATCCACGTTTGTGGGTACACTCAGGCAAGTTCTGTTTACATCGCTGCAGATGAACCGTCCTCCCTTCCTTCCCCGGTGTGCACGCTGTGGGCGTCGTGTACCCGTCACATAAAGGGTCTATGACACGTGCACATTCAGGCTTGTGCTATGGACACCTATGTGTTGGCTTGTGTTGCCTGTGGGTGTGGTATGTGTGTGAGTAAGTGTTGTCACAGTCCCCCACCGGTTTGTGATGTGTGTGTAGTCACCAGGCTTGAGCACACTGCATTTGACATAGACATTTGTGTCCGCACACACACACCCCGCCCCCAGCATTCACTGTGAGGTGGGTACAGATGTGGGCATTTGTGATCTTGGTTGTGCACGTGGAGGAGGAGGGGGCCCTGCTTTGTGATTTCTCCCCTTGGCTTACAAGTTCTTTCCCCCAGAAAACAACCTCCCCAAAAGGGCTGAGGAGGTATGCTCCAGGCCTTAGGACCCTGGGGGCCAAGCCAGGGGAAGCCTGGGACCCTCGGGGTCACCCTTTCTCCTTCCTTCCCCTGCAAGGACTCTGATTATGGTGGAACCCTGAGCCAAGGAGGTCAGAGAACAGACTCCCTCCACCTCCCGCCACCACCACCACCACCATCTCGGGTTCATGGCTGCCCAGCAGCCAGGTCCCAAACCCAGTGCGCTCCCAGGGCACCATGCAAGACAATTGGGGTAACCCATCAGAAGCTGACCCAGGCCTGGTCTTGGGAACCTCTGCCAACTGCTCAGGTCCTCCTTGAAGGAGAGAAGCAAGCTTTACTCCAGTACGTGGCAGCTTTTCTTGGTTGAATAAATGAGTGAATGGATGAACCCACTAGAGGCAGGCTCTGGGGACCTCATGTGGTCTTCTTGGCAGACCCCCTTGCGTGTCCCAGGCTATACACCTCAAAATCCAGGGTCTTCTTTTCTCGTATCCTCAGAGCCATCCCCCATGACTCACCGTGGATAATGTCTCCCTCCTTTGTGCCAGCCCCAGGCTAATGGTTGCTTCTATAGTGGGGTGCAGCAAAGCCTTGTTCCCCACTCTTAAGGGGCTTCTGGCCTAGTGGGAGAGACCAGACCAAAGAAGCAGGCAGCTGACTCTGAAACCCAGCCTGTCTCTAAGTGTGTGACTTTGGACAGCTGTGAATCCTCTCAACCTGATCCCTTGGTTTTAAACAAGGAAAATAATACCTGCTTTGCCGGGTTGTTTTGAGGATGAAATGAGATATTTTATGGTATTTGCTCAGTGCTGGGTATATTCATTCATTCCCCATATATTTGTTGAGTGCCTGCTGTGTGCATCAGGGAGAGCAGACAGGGTCCTTCCTTTTGCGGTGGTTCCATCCTAGCCAGCATTTAATAAATGGGCTGTTGCATGGGCTGTGTTTTTAGCCTGTGCCATACCGTTTGATTACTATTGCCTTATAAAATGTTTTAGACACCTGGCTAAACTAAGTCCCCCTCCATTTCTAGTCATCGTTTCTTATAGAACGTATAAATTATGTGTGGCTTTTTAAAAGGTTTTACTTTTCTCCAAGTAACAAATGGCCGTGGTGACACATCAAATAGCACCCAGGAGTTTTTGTTGAAAGCTCCCCACCCTGTCCCATTCCTTGTCTCGTTTCTGATGCCAGCCTGTTACAGATGCTGGAGGGGAAGGCAGTCTGGAGATGACCAGGACACAGTTCTAGCCTGCATGCTGCTCCCACTCTGGGGCAGAAGATAGATGTGGAGACAATCTATGTTGTAAGAAGGACAGCCAGAGGAGGTGAGAGCCTGGCAGGCCTCCTGGAGGAGGTGGTTTCTGAGCAGAGCCTTGAAGCATAGCTCCAGGCACAGTGTGCTGGATGACCCCTGCATTGGGGGCCAGTGCCCAGACTCTAGGCATGGTGCGACCTTTTCTTTTGTTAATACGACAGTCACTGAAGGACTCTGCCCATCCCTGTGCTGGCAAGGCATTTGGGTATACCCATTAATCCTACCGCCTTGATGGGAAGACTGGCCTAGTGAAAGATAATGTGAATAGTATCATGCTTCATTCATTCATTCATTCATTCAGCCAACAAGCAATTATTGATTATCTGCTTTGTGCCAGGCACTATTCTAGGTGTTTGGGAGGCAGAGAGCCCAAGACTCCTGACCATCAGGAGCCTCCATTTTGATAGGAGAAATCCTCCACAAGCACTGAAAATGGTAAAATAAGTAAATGATGTGGAATGCTAGAAGGTAAAAGGGTCTATGGACCAAAGAACAAGGTAGAGCAGGGCATGGAAACCCGGAGGGGTGGGGGTGGGGGCCCGCAGAGGTAGCAGGCTGGGCGCTGAGCCTCTGTGCGTGAAGAGGGCCCAGGCGTCCTGGCATCTTGTGCATAATAATGGTAGGGTGGGTTTTCACGGCCTCCGTGAGGGTGCTTGGCAATGCCTATCAGAATCTCACATGCACACACGCCTGAACCCAGTGACTTTACAGACTAACCCTACAGATAAACTCACACCCCGGCAAAATGATGAATGTACAAAAATATTCACGAGAACAGTGCTGGAATAGGGAAAGACTAGAAACAGCTCGATTGCCCGTGAGCTCCGCTAGTTGAATATATCTGTTACATCCATACCGTGGAATACCAGGTACCGGGAGACAGAATTACGTTCTGATATAAAACACTTCCCAAGACGTGTTGCTAGGAGAAAAATGAGGTGCAAACCAGGGTGTAGAGTATGTTGTCATTTATGTGAAAGAAACGACCATAAAATGTATACATGTGGACCAGCTCTGAAAGGATGTAAAGGAAGCCGGTAGACTCAGGGGTCGTCTCTGGAGAGGAGAAAGGGGTGGTGGGAGGTGGGTGGGAAGGAGAATTTTCACGCTGTTGCTTTTCATGCGTTGGAAATTTTGAACCATGTGAATATAACCTAATAAAAAAATTACATTTTCAATTAAAATTAAATGTCCAGCTGCCATTGGGGCCCCACCCAGATCCCTTTACTAGCCTCTGCAGCCATCTTCCATCTGTCAGGAGCTCTGGCTGCAGATGGCTCACAGCTGGCACGGTTCTCTGGGGAACTGTCCCTGGCCAAACGGGGGCCGCCCTGCTCAGAAGGTTATGCCTCCCCTTGCCCCCTAAGGGCAGCCTGCAACCAGTGACTGACTGAACTCCATGGGGCGATTCATGCCCTATGGCTCCTCATGGGACCAGGCTGCTGCGGGTCTCCAGCTGAGATCACACCTTTGCTGAAGGACTTCCACTGCCCTGTCCTGTTTTCTTCCCTCCCTTGCAGATTTTCCTGAAGAGCACTTCCCAAAAATTCACATGCATTTGAATGCTGGTCTCATGCTCTGCATTTAGGGAACCTGATCCAAGACACCTCTCTCAAGGGAAGGTAACTTACTGGAAATGAGCTAAGTGCTCTCCATGTTTTGGTACAATACCCCGTGGAGAGGGGACCACTATCATTATCCTCATTCAGCAGATGAGGATCCTCAGAAATTCAGACACCAGCTCAAGAATGCACATCATGGGAAAAAAGCCAGTGAGCCCAGAGCCCACACTTCCCCCATGACACCTGCTTCCTACTGCAGGAAGATCTTCCTGCATCCAGACTTAGCAGCTTATCAGAACACAGGATTGTAGTTTCTGTGCATGGTTTTTACCACAGCCCTCACTGCTTGTGGCCAGAGGTGGCCTAAGGGGAAAACGTGTGTGTCAAGGGGAGGCCCAAGCTTCTTAGGATGGTAAAACCTGGAGGTCATGTCTGGGGCAGGACTCTGAAGATCTCAGCCTCCCTCCATCGTGTGGAATCCTAGCTCCAGTTGATAGTCTGATGTCCTTTTGGCCAAGAGAGATATTTGCATACTTCCAGGGATGGGGAGCCTCAGTATCTGACAAGGGCCGTCTGCCACATCTCTGGACAAGGCATTAAGGGCAGAAAGGTTTTCTTCTCTTCATTCTGTGATTAATGGTGCCAATCCAAGACCATGGGGGCCACAGAACAGGGGCTGCTCTTTCACCCTAGAGAGAATTCTGCTGAAATGGGATTTGGGCATCTTGTGCTTGAGCTTTGCTTCTCCAGGCCCCACAGACCTTTCCCCTCCTGCATTCAGTCTCGTGACCTCCTTGGACGTCTCCTGGGGCTTTCTGGAAAACATCTTATTCAGACCGACTTCTCTCTCTTTCTCTGTTCTAGTTTGATGGTGACAGTGCCTACGTGGGGATGAGTGACGGGAACCCAGAGCTGCTATCGACCAGCCAGGTGGGTGCTCCATCCTCCCTGTGTGGGGGTCCAGCCTGGAGCTGGCCGGAGCTGAGCTGCTGCAAGGTGGGCCCGGGGTGGGGCAGAGCAGTGGGGCAGGGCCACCACTATCCTGTCTCATAAGGATCAAGAACACCAAGTATCCCTTTAAGAGTGATGAATCCAGCTGGGACCACGGTATTTTCGGTAAATCACCTACCTGCCTCTGGTTGGCTTAAAATGGGCACCATTGAAAACTTGGTAAAACTGCAAATGTGTTGCCCACATTTCCCATGGATAGAGGAGAAATTTTCAGCAGCAGTTAGTAGAGATGTCACACGCTCCCTGGTACTCTCTGCCTCTTGCCACCACATAGCACCCACAGGATCGACACTGGCAGGGAGGCACACATGGCCATGCGAAGGCACGTGGAGTTCTCCTGCCCACCTAGAGTTGTGTGGTACCACTGGGGAGTATTGTGGATGTGGCATACAGGGAGGAGAGCAGAGGCTTCCTGTGTGGTCCTCCCTAGGAAGGAGACTGAGTCATCCCTCTGCAGGGCTATCCTGGTCCCTAGCCCTCTGGGAGTTCCAGATGCCAGCTAGAATCTGAGTTTCCACTGAGAGCCTGGTCTCCAAAAGTTGTTTTCTTTCAGTTGGTAGCATCCTCACTGCAGGCTGGGGTGCCGGGGAGGGCGCTCACTGCAGGCTGGGGTGCCGGGGAGGGCGCTCACTGCAGGCTGTGGGTGCCAGGGAGGGCGCTCACTGCAGGCTGTGGAATTTGGAGGATGGTTCCTTAAGGCAGTGGTGCCTACAGGGTGGCAGCACCTCAGGGTGCAGAGGAACTTGGGGAGCTGGACAAGCCCGTCCCTGGAGCTGACCTCCATCCTCTGTCTGTGCAGTCATGATGGTTGTGGCAGTCCATGTCGGGTGGCTGGGCCCACATTTTCCAGTTGGGGAATCAGAATGCTATTTACGTGCCCTCCTGTGAGACAACCCCAGTGGTGGACATAGATGAGTAAAGCATGAGCCTGTGGCTTTTAGGGTGCACTGCCAGTGAGGGAGGATCCCGTACTCAGTGCGGGGGAGTGAACTCTGCCGTGGGGCACTGCATCTCCCTCCCCCGCTGCTGCAGGGGTGCTCGTGCTGGGGCTGCCATCCACCATCCATGCCCCTTCGCTGGCCTGTGACCGTGTGAGCATCACAATGCTGGGGCAAGCCTGCCTTTATATGGCACTGACTCGTGCCAGCCTGAAAGACACTCTGGTGGGCAAGACTCCAACTCCTGGAAATGCTCATTTTGGAAGAAGCCACTGGAGTCATTTAATTGTCCATAATCAGCTTGGACATGTGGGCGTCTCAAAAGACCAGAGCTTCCCCGCTCCCAAGCATCTCATCTGAGCCCTTTCGCAACGTTTAAAGTGCATTTTGTTAACGTGCTGAGCCTGGCTCTCAGAACTGTGGCAGGTGGAATCGGCATGGCTGAAACCCTGATGGAGAGCGTGGCCACCATCCTTCCGTGGGAAGGGAGGGTGGGGCTCGGGGGGCTCCCCCTGGGCCCACAGTCCTTTGCAGAAGAGATGTGGGGCAAAGCGATCCCACAGGCTGCTCGCAACAGCGCCCTTGCCCGCCCGCCCAGTGTGTCGTCACTGTCGCAAAGCCTCTTCCTCAGTGGCTACTTCAGCTGACCTTCACCAGTCTTGAGAAGTAGTAGGTTGTCATTAATCCCATTTTCTAGATGAGGAAGCTGAGGCTGGAGGATGTTGAGTGGCTCGTTCAGGGAGGGGACAGCTGGGGCTCAGAGCTCCACACATTACTTTGTTCCATTCCTGCCTCAAGCCGGCCACCAACTTCCTTCAGCCAAGTGTCCCTTTGTCAGAAAGCTGTTCATGACCCTGAAATCCAAGTTAGGTCCCCTCCCCTTGATTCTCTCTCATGACACTGTGTCTTTTTAATCCGTGGCATCTGTTCCTGCTTATCTGTGTGACGACTTGGCTGGCATCTGATTTCCACACTAGACTGTGACTTCCATGAGAGCAGGATCTGGTCCCTCATTCACTGTTGTAGCTCCCAGTGTGTTACAAAGCCTGACATGTAAAAGGCACTCGGGAAAGACTTGCGTGATGGGTCATGTGGCCCCTTCTCTTTTCTGGACTTTAGTTTCTCTGGCAGTGAAATGAGGCAGTTGGATTCCCCCAGGGGAACCCAAGTCTCTTGTGCTGTCACTCGGAGTCTCCCTAACTTAGCGCTTCATAAAGAAAACATCAGGGTTCCCTGTGATTGACCAGCCACCTGGTGGCAGGAGCCAGCCTTGATGGGAGCAGATTTAGCAATTGCAATCTAGACTTCTTACAGGGTACCAGTTGGCTTTCGTTGCATACGAAGCATGTCAAGGGGCTCCTGGGTTGATCAGTCAGTTGGACATTGGACTGCTGATTTGGGTCTCAGAGTCCTGAGATCGAGCCCTGCATTGGGCTCTGTACCCAGCACAGAGTCTGCTTGAGATTCTGTCTCTCCCTTTCCCTCTGCCCCTGCTCTGCTCATGCTTGCTCTCTCTCTCCCAAATAAATAAATAAACAAAATAAATAAAATCTTAAAAAAAAAAACCCTAAGCAAGTCAAAACTTAACGTCTTAAAACAACAAATATATACATAGTTCAAAATTCCATGGGTTGGTGGTTTGGTTGGGTTCAGCTGGGTGGCTCTTCTGGCTGCAGCTAGGACCCCTGTAAATGGCCACTGTAAGCTGCCAGGTCAGCTGTGGGCTGGTTGGCATGGGGACTCACTTCTCTTCCAGACAGTTTCTTGTCCCCCAGCAGGCTAGCCTGAGGTGGTTCACGTGGTGGGAGTGGGTTCCTCAAGCAGCAAGGACAGCAGCTGCAAGACCTGTTGAGGTCTAGGCTTAGAATTGGCACATGAGTACTCCCAGCACATTCTGTCACTCAAAGCAAGTCAGAGAGGCCAGTTGTAGACTCAAGCATGGGGAAGTAGACCCCACCTGTTGATATGAGGAACTGTAAAGTATTGTGGTCTTTTAACAAACCCATGGGAATACGGGATGTTGTTCCTGCTGATTTTACTGAAGAATAACAGACTCATCCAGGACATGCAGCTCCTAGTGGCTTGGGGGGCTCCAGGATCCCTACTTCTTAATGTTTTCTTCCAGTCTTTTCCCTGAAGTGCTTGTCTAACTCCTCCCCCCCGCAACATACACACATGAATGCCCTGTCATGTTGTGCTGCCCCACCAACCGCAGGGATTGTATGGTCCCAGTTCCTGAGGGGCTGACATAAACATCTGGGCAAAATGATGGTCTCCTCGCCACCAGAGGATTCAGAGTACAAACACTCTATATGTATTTTTCTTTTCTTTTTCTTTTTTTTTTTTTTAAAGTAGGCTCCTTGCCCAGCCTGGAGCCCAACATAGGGCTTGAACTTACTACCCTGAAATCAAGACCTGAGCTGAAATTAAGAGTCAGATGCTTAACTGAGACCCCCGGACAGCCCCAGAGTACAAAGAGTCTAAATGGCATAAAATGCATGTTATAAATACAGTTAAATATGAGATTCACCCATTAAGCAAATGTTTATTGGGCACCAATTATGTGCAAGGCTCTTGGCTCTTGATGTAAGCAGGAAGCCATTTCTGGAAGATGTGCTTCTAGAACATACCATTTCATTGTATTAAGAACCTGCTCTTTAATGTAACCTTCTCTTGAAACACCATCTTTTTTATCTAGAAAGGGCAGTAGAGACCAGTTTCCTATGGGATCTGTAACAGCCAACTGCACCTCCTGTTACAAACTTCCAAACCAGCTTTATGGGCTTGCAGTTTCTTTTGCAAATGCATACTTTATTGTTTGGTTTTTACAAGTTTCCACAAAATTCCTGCCTGGTTGCCTTAGCTTTCACACAGTATCCCCTTTCCCCCCTCCCTGGACCTTGTGTTTCCTTTTGAACCAGACTCCTGTGGGTGGTCTGAGACCAAGATGCAATTCTCAGGCATGGCTTCTGGCCCATCAGCAGCTTCTGGGAGGTGGGGGGCCTTGTAGAGATAAGCTCCCCCCACCCCCGGTTGAGAACAGACCCTCGCCAGGAGTCACAAGGACGATATTTCCCAGTTATGTGACCCTGGGAAGAGTCTCCTGCTTGCTGGGATGAGGCTGAAGAGGAAAGGAACAAGACCGTGGGCTCAGCAGACTTGGATTCAAATCAGCTCTTGCATATCCCAGCCAGTTGCCCTCTATAACCCTGTGCAAGGGGTAGCAGTGTTCGTCATTTGGGAGAAGTAACGTTTGCCACCCAGAGTACTATAAGTACCTGAGAGGAGTGGTATTGATTCCCGTCACCAGGCCGGGGCAACCGTCCTCCAGCTGCTGTGAGTGCCGGCTGCTAACTATTCACAGCTGCCCCTTCTCTGGAAGTGGTTGGATCTAAGATATGTTTTGAAAATAAAGTTAGTAGGTCTTGCCAATGGATAGATCTGGGGTGAGAGAGAAATGAAGGAGTAAAGGATGACTCTCAGGCTTCCAGCATAGCCCTTTCTCCAGCATGGTGGTATCAGTTTTCTAAGTTGGGAAAGGCCTGGGGAAGTGCAGATTTGATGAGGTTAGACTTGGACATGTTACATTTGAGATGCTCATCCAAGTGGAGATGATCAAGTAGGGAGATGGCTAGAACTCCTTGGGGAAGTCAACTTGGAAGTTCTTCGCCCATGCTATTAAAACCTTGTGAGGAGGAAATTTGCAAAGACAGAGAGAGAGAAGAGTGAGGAGAAGACGAAAGAACTTAAATGTTGAGCTCCAATATTTGAAAGCAAAGTGTAGGAGGAGAAGACCTTGAAATAGGTTGAGAAGCAGTGACTAGAGAAGTAAGAGGAGAACGTGGAATCTTAGATGGAGGTAAGGGATTTTGGGGAAAATGATCCTGGGTCCACAGCTTCTTCCCTTTCAAAGGATAACTTTTGCATAAATCAGAGATTTATATGTACTCATGGCACAAAGGCACCAGAAAAAACTTTAAG